GGCAGTTAAGTTGGCGTAAGAAGAAGGGCTTAATTGCTTTGATCCCCGAGTTCAAGGGCTTATATGCATCAATTACAGTCTAGGGGCTTAATAGCGATTCTGGGGTTGGTTCAGGGGCTTAACTTATGGTTTTGCCTCCAAATTTGGACATAACTAGTTTGCAGTGAGGGCGAGCTAGCACGAGCCACGAGGGATGGAATTTGCGCATGAAAGACACGTGCGCAAAAATAACAGTGGTTGTTTCGGGTGGACTCCACTCCAGTGCTTTTTATACATTATGTACGTCCTATTATCATCATGTGGGTATTGCCAGATTTCTGACATGTTTGTTTTCTGTGGGTTTGGCTGGTTTTAGCATCATCTTTCAACCATTGGATTTAAAAATTAGCTGTTAACAATTTATGCACCTTCTCAAATAAGTTAATTAGTTTAGAATAATAATCATCTTTCCAAAAGAACATGATCTCATGAGTTTTAGTGGGCGGGTACATGACATTGGTTAAAGAAAAAAAAATTATCATATATTGTATAACTTATAAAAAGATTTATTTTTAAGTTTTATAGATGTTCACTTTTTTTTTGTTTTTAACTTTATATACATTTTGATAATGTTTTGGTATAATTAATTATTCAAATGATTTAGAGATAATTTGTTTATTAAAATTAAAAAATTTTAAATTTGACTTGTATAACTTACAAATAAAATAAAATAAGAAATAAAAAAATTATTTTTTATTATACAATTAAAATAAAAATAATAATATTTTGGTACAACTATTCTTCATAATTTGTATATGTTATTCAATAACTAAATATATAACATTATAGATGACACAATAAAAAAATCAATTATTGAATGTGATATAAGACTTTGAAAAACAAAATTACACACAAAAATTGTGGCTAAATTGTTTTTCATTGTAAAAATGATTAATTAATATATACATATATATATATATATACATGTACACACTATATGACTTTTTAATTGGAAATTATGCCTGGTGTTTAAAATTTAAACCTTGCGTGCCAGTGTGGATGTATGCATAATTCATGATTCATCCCAAAAACATGAGATGTACTTGGTACTACTCCATAATTAAATTTGATCTTCAAAATCAATGAAAAGTTTGAAAATCTAAGCAGTAACTTAAAAATTATGTTGGGGAATGTGGCGAGCCACTGTTTTTTTCATTAGGTTGTTTTAAATCCTGGGGCTATCTCCATTGCTTATTTTAAAAAGATATATAAATAAATAAATATGTTTTTATCCTCTATTTTTAGGCATAGAATAAATGTATAATGAATATATTTTTTATAATTAGTTTTTATTAAAAGTGTAAATGTTAATTTTAATTTAATTAATTAATTAAAATTATTAACATGTTAATAATATAAAAATATATGTTTATTTTTATAAATTTTTTTTTATAAATTAATTAAAATATATATATTATATTTTTAATTATATATTTTGAAATACAGATTAAACAACTTTATAAATAAAATAAGATAAAAGAAGGAGGAATCCTGGGGCTATCTCGCTCCCCGTTTACCCCTTCTCCTCCTGTACCTCCTCGGTACAACTAGCCAAGTTGAGATCAGTGTCACCATGACTGCACGCGACACTACTGTGCTGACTTCAGTTGTCGCGGCTCAGCAGTTGTGTTAATTTTCAACGTGCTAGGCACGTTTAGAAAAAGCAAAACGAGATAAATGAAACATGCAGCAGCTCAAAAATTTTATGTTACGTGGCACTTACAGAGATCTAGATGGTTGAGATCCCACTTACGCATGAGGAGTTGGGTACAGAGCTGCCAAGAAATTTCTGTGGTGCTAAAAAATGCAAATTGCTTGCGCCTTTCCAGACAATGCATGACTCACGTGCTTATCCTAAGCTCAAACTCTGAGGCGTCCAAATTGACAAATTGAAGCATCGCACAGTTACTTCTATATCTCTATCTATTTATTTATAGACGAAGGGTTCATTTATAGATAATTAAATCCTATATATTATATTGATATAATATTTTAATAATTTATTTTTTTTTTGTTTTTAATGGTATTTTAGATTTATTATGATTTTTTAGATAAAAAAATTAATTATCTTTAATAAATTCATATAAATTTTAATTATTAAAAGTGAATAAATAAATAATTAAAATTTTATATAAATATAATTGTTGGCATTAAAAAAATGTTAAAATTAAAATATATTTACCCTAGTAAAAGTCTTGGAAGTTAAGATAATAAATCTTTAAAGAGATATTTTCTCTTCAATTTTAAAAAATAATAAATAAATATATTAAAATGACCAAATTATTTTTAAAGTGAAAGGTATTTGAGGTCATTTGACAAAATTCCTGTGCCTATAAATAGGTCATCATTTGATTGAAAAAAAAGAGGAAAAGGAAGAAGGAAGAAGGAGAAAAGAAGAGGAACAACAAGCTTCAAGCTCCCTCAACAATTCTTGAAGTTTCAAGCCCCAATCTCCTACCAAGAGTAAGCTCCAAATCCATGTTAAGGAGGAAAAGTTTCAAGTGCAAGTCTTAAATTCCTTGAAGGACAAGAACAAGTTTAGGCTCTTGCCCTTCTAAATTCAACTGTTAATTAGAAAATCATATTGTTCTAAGACGTGTTACTCTTCAAAGCCTAAGCATGTGCACTGCAGCACTCCAAATCAGAGATTGTTTCCCATTTTTCTTCAAGTTTATTGTAACTTGTATTTATTTTGCAAATCAATACATATTATTTGATTTTGCAGATTTTGTGACTAGAGTAATATATAAGATTTGTATATAAATAAATTCTTCCTCTATATATATTTTGTGAAAATATTTATTTACACATAAATTTTATACATAAAATTTACACATTTTATTTACATAAAATTTAGATCATTTTCATCTCTTCGCATGTAATGATTGAGATTATTTTATTACGATTTTTTAAATAAAAAAATAATTATATTTAATAAATATAAATAAATCTCAATTATTGAAAGTAAAAAGATAAATTGAGATTTTATATAAGTGTAATATATGAAATTTATGTGTAAATAGATCTCTTAAAGATTATAATAAAAGGACCAACTTGGGGCTTAAATTCCAAACCTTAGGGAACAAATTAAGGATTTATTAATTAAGTTTAGGAACAACGTCAGGGGTTTATTCAATAGTTGAAGGATTAAATTGAAATTTTAACCTAAATAGTTGAATTCAAGTAGGAGACGCTCATAATTCCTGCCATGTTAGTTAATAAACAACATAGGAGACGACATTGAAAAATACGTGAACTCCACCAAGTAAGTTTCGTAACAATTATTTCTATTGAAATCACTTAGCTGCATATGCTATAAATCAGTTTACTAATATTTGTGCAAAAGCAATGCAGAGATCCTCAGCCTGTGATACTGAAGTCAACAGCATTGAAAGTTGAAGACCCTTTTACAGCTAGAGTCTCTTCCGGAGGGCCTCGTCATATCTCACCTACCATATTGAAGGTAATTAATTTGATCTTTGGACAAAACAGAATGTTATTGTTATTTTGTGATGTTGATGTCTCTGGATTTTGATGTTTGTATCCGGATATTGTGGCACCGGGGGTTGATATTCTGGCAGCTTTCATCAAGCTCATATCTTTAGCTGGAGAATCCAATGACAACATGTTCAACTTCTATAACATCCTGTCTGGAACATCAATGTCTTGCCCTCATGTTTCTGCTGCGGCTCCCTATATCAAGTCATTCCACATCCTGATTGGTCCCTTCTGCAAACAAATCCGCTCTCATGACAACTGGATCTTCTTTAATTTCTTTGATTTTCAAATCCCTAAAAGCTCTTGTTCACTAATGGAAATTTCATTTTCAGCTACTGAAATGAAAGTTGGGGACAAGGCTGCTCAATTGGCCTATGGTTCTGGCCAAATTAACCCAGTAAGGGCAGTTCAGCCTGGTCTGGTATATGAAATCTTTGAAGCTGACTACATAGGCATCCTTTGTGGCGCAGGCAATCAGTTTATTGTTCAAGCATATCTAAGCATCGGGGAAATCATGCCCTTAACTATGCATCCATGGTTGTGTTTCAAAGAAACTCCAATGCTAGTATTTCAGCTGTTTTCTACAGAACAGTAACAAATGTAGGCCCTGCTAGGTCCACGTACAACGCAACCGTGAAGGCAACAACAGGCCTCGATTTCAGGGTTACGCCAACCATGCTGGATTTTAACCAAGTAGGCGAGAAGAAATCGTTCAGAGTAGGGCTATCAGGGCCGCTACTGAACAAAAAATTCTCTACTTTGTCTGTTTTTCTGGAGTGGAATGACTCAATCCACACAGTCAAGACCCCCATCCTTGTTCATACACTTTCACAGGGTGTTTGATTGCATAAATGTTGTTTCTTTAATCTTAGATTTAGAATGCAATTCATTTTTTTATTCAATCAGGTGTACAAAACTTACAAACATTATTACAACATTGGCAGTCATGATTCCACAATTGGAATCTGAAAATTATTAAGAGTGACACTAAGAAGTGAACATGATTCACCTCTTGCAAACAACTCCACGGCCGTCCATTCCACTGGCACAATCCAACTTAGCATACTCGAAATTTTCTGGTCCGGCTAACTCACCAGTGAATCGAGCAACGGCGCAGTCAGCGGTGAAGAGGGTTGAAGAAGAGAACTTCTCCTCCCCACCTAAAACCGGCATAACGACGCCCATTTTCACTCTGCTTACGTAATTGCTAGCATAAGTCTGACCCAGAACACCGTTAACATGGCCGCTCAATCCATAGAATTTGAAGCTCAAATCAAGGTGAGCGAAGCAATCATCTTGGGTGATACCATAACTGTGAATCTTGGAATCTTTCTCGGTGATGGGAACCACTGTGGCTTTGATCTTGAAATTGCCCCGCACTTCGATTTCGACGGTGTTTGTGTGGCCGGTCCTGGTGATGCTGGTATCCGGTGCTTCTATGGGTTGCCACTTGGTACCTTCGCCATCGGGAAGGAAGATAGGTTCGTCATCGAAGACCAAGGCGAGTCGGTCAATGGCATCGTCCCAAGTTGCTGTCTTTTTGGCTCCGATGTAGAGTTTGTGGTTGTCGAAGAGAATACCCAGAGATTGAACCCAAGTGAAATCCCTCTTCATGTTTTCGTTCCGGCGACCGATGAAGTGGGCATTGATGTGAATGTTAGAGTCGGAAACCAAACAGAAATCTTTGTCCTTTTGACCGTGGAAGTAGAAGGTGATACCATCTGCTCCGACGAATCGAGGATCTTCACAAACACCACCAGCCTTGATGCAGTCTGCTTGCAAAATTCATATTAATCACAATTTTTTGAGAAAATTGATGGAGACGTAAAGATTAAGAGAAATTAACTTACCGCAAACGGGTTTACATGTGTCACAATCAACCTCACAGTTATTAGGACAATTGACTGGGCAGGTGTGCTCCATGCCATAACACTGAGGATAATTCCTGAGCCTGCATTTAGCTGTCTTGGGGGAAGGTGATGGTGGTGATGATGGGGTGGTGGTGGGTGTTGATGGTGATGGTGATGGGGTGGGTGGTGGTGGTGATGATGGGGTGGGTGGAGAAGGGAGAGGAGGCGATGGTGTAACAGAGCAAACAGGTTGGCACTTGGCACAATCCACGACACAAGTGCGGGGACAGGAAACCGGACAGTAAAGGTCCTTGTGGTAACAAGTGGGAAACTTCTTGTCATCACATTTCACTTTCTTTTGCTTATGTACTGGCGTATGGGATGGCGGCGGTGGTGGAGGAGGAGTAGTTGGGCAAAAGGGTTGGCATGTGGCGCAGTCCACCGCACAAGTGCGGAGACATGTATTCGGACAGTAAAGGTCCTTGTGATAACAAGTGGGGTACCTCTTGTCTTGGCACTTCACTTTCTTGGCCTTATGAGGACCTGCCTCCACCACCGCCACGACGAGGAAGAGGAGGAGGAGCAAACAGGCGCTTCGTTCCATGACTCTAGCCATTTGCTCTTGTTAAGCTAGCCGTGGATCAAATGTGAGTAGGGGCCTCAAATTTATACATGTTCTTTAGGCAACTTGGGTATGTAGAGTACCCTTAAATCTAGCATTGCAGTGCCTTTGTCTCTCCCTAAGTAATCGACTTTACGCCTGCTTCCAAACTTTGGAACTGGAATTCATTTCAAAATAGAATTTGATTGGTGATCAAGCTATGGGCGTTCACGTTTTAACATTATGTATGCATGTAATGTATGAGATTAGAGTATGTATAATGAAAAATAATGAAAAAGCTCACTTTGATATTATATCATCACAATTAATATAATTTTATATAAATTTATATGATAAATATTTAATCCTTAAATAAAACACCTAACAAAACATATATTTTTCTATATATATATATATATATATTTAAATAGAACTTTCTCATATATGTTATATTAATATTATTTTATTTTACTCATTTCTAATAAGAAGATTTGAAGTAAAAAAATCTTATAAAAAAAAAAATTACCAATCGTGGGATCAAGCAGCATAAAAGGAAGGTAGTGCACTGCTAACATGCTCTCAAATGATGGCCATGCACATTTTAGAAAATAATTTTAAAATTGATAAAAGGAAGAGAACATGTTCTCTACAAAGAATAAAATTATCTTTTAGAATATATTACAAAATTCTGTTTCTATTCTATTTTTGAAAAGAAAATGAAAGAGAACTCCCATTCTACATACTCTTAGGAATAGATAGCTTAAGAAATTGTGGCAGGTGTAGGCGTAATTTCTCAGATGAAACCGGCACGTGCATGCTTAGGTGTGACCTGGGCTAGCTTGTTCTTTCATTGCAAAAGAATGAAATAAGGAGTCTTCAGGCGCTGGCTATGGAGCAATCCTTTTCTCCCCAGCACTCAAGTCATCCGGGCAATTTTTCCTTCCTTTGGTATTTGATCCTATTTCTTAGGCTTTGGTTGGTTATGTTGAATTTAATTAATTTGCTGCGCAAGCAACAATTTCATTCAACTTTCAAGAGCAAGACAGGCTCCACTTGCTGGGCTTGGCCCAACATTTTGGGCTCTCAACGCTCAAGAGATCCAACCAAACTTGCTGGCTAGTAGGTTTCAGTTCTAACCCAAGATTTGGTCATCTGCTTCTGCTTAATACACCAAATGCAATAGTTCTGTCCTTTCAATTTCTGGCATTTAGAAGTGAAAAATAACTTGTAAATGAATTAGAAGACCCTTTTAAGACTCAACTTTAATTAAATTTTAACAATAAAAGAAATAGTTTTCAAAAGTTGAGCCAATGCACTGAGCTAATATATTCTAAAATCAACTTGTAATCAAAAGGAGGCTAACACGTGCAGATGGTATAGCTTCAAAACTCTTATCATTTAAGTAAATGTTGGTATTATTTTGAGGAACTACCAATGAAAGTATTACAACAAATAATAGAAGATTTTGTAAGTGTTTGTAGGGCTTATACTTCTAGATTAATCAATGCATAAATGCATTGTCTTTGTACCCAAAAAAAAAAAAAGCAAAAAAAAAAAGAAGCTATTTTTTGTGATTATCAAGCATTTTACCAATTTATTCACGTGGTGTCTAAAATCTCAATAAATAATTCAAATTGAAAATTTGGAAGTTAACTTTCAACCTTAGCATTAACACGAGCCTCACGTTTTTCCAAGCTTCCACGCGATTCTTGTTTTATTCTTCCATTGTTGTAATTTTAAATATTGTACCATAAAAACGGCTTTCAGGCGTGGACTAGATAGATTTTAGGGCTGGTGTAATTTTTTAACATATCTTAAATATCGTGTTTCCCAAGATGTTGAAATTCTAAGAAACAAAAACATGAAGCAGGGGAAGATAAGAACAAACCTTCAGGCGCTGGTAATGTTGCCTGATCCCATTCCTTTTTAATTTGTTTCACAACAAGCAGCAATTTCTTCCTGACTCATCTTACACGTTTCCTCACCCTCAACAATTTTGGGCTTTCACACTTTCAAAAAAAAAAAAAAAAAAAACCAAATAAGTTAGTTTTGGGCTTTCAAAACTTCTAAGAATCCAAGTTCCGAACCAGCCTGCTGTGGTTCTACGTGGGGGTAAGCATTTTCATAAATTATATTTGGTATTTGATTTGGATAATGATTCATGCACCCACAAGTTCGACACTTGACAATACACACTCCATTAAGAGTAAAATTATAAATTTACCCTTAAAACCATCTTCTTCCTCACAATTCTCCTTTTTTCTTCTTGTCTCTCCGTCTCTCTCTTCAACAATTCAACACTAGTTTCTCAACTTCCTTCTTCCTCCCTCTCTTTCTACCTACTAAAACGAACAAGTTCTTTAACATCTGGGTTCAAATTTGATCTAGGTTCAAATACCTAAGTTCACGAAGAACCTAGCACCAAATAAGAGGAATAACAGGTCACAAACTGACAAAAAAAAATGGGACCACAAGAAAAACAGATCACTAAAAATGAGCTATTGTTCTGGCCATAAAGTTAGAATCTACAAAGCTCCAAATGAAAAATTGACCGTTCAGAATGTAGATTAATGTCTTTTCAACACCAAAAAAAAATTTCAATTCAATCTGACAGTGAACTTTTGCATATCGGACAAAATAACAAAGCTGTGTATAGTACCAAAACTACAAAAATTTCCCTTGTTTTCTTTTCCCTTTTCTGCCAATTGGCTCCACTCACATGCACTCCACTTTCTACTATGTCATCCCAAAAACAAACTTGTTTTATGTGTCTAATGGGCTACAAAATCATGAGCTAAATCGATGATGATTTTTTAAGAAAATGAACTCTTTCTCAAGATTTGGTGTTGCTGTCATTTGGGAAATTAATTTCCACTAATTTGTTATTGCTATCATTTAGGAAACTTACTCAAGATTCTGATTTGGTGCTTGAATGCTTGATCAAATTTTGTTGAGATTCAAATGATTTGTTCTTACTGTCATTTGGGAAATGAGCTTTGTGAGGAAGAATATGGCTTTAAGGGTAAATTTTTAATTTTACTTTTACAATTTGTTCGGTCTATGGAGTTTGCATCGTTAGGTGTTGAATTGGCAGGTGCATGAATCATTCCCCATTTGATTTAAAAATTTTTATATGTAATTTTTTACAATTTATATTTATCTAAATACTTAAAAACTTATATTTAGTATTTAATCCAATAGGTACTAGTTGTGGGTATATATTTGTGTACTTAGTTTAAGGAAAGAAGAGATCTCGTACAAGTTGCTATTGTTGTATGTGTTATGTATTTAACTTAGGGTTTATTACTTATATGAGTTACTATTATTGCAGGTGTGATTTGTTTGGTTTATAGGCCATACTTTATTTTTATTTTATTATTTTATTATTTTATTTTTTTTATTTTTAAACATTATTGTTATTATTTAAATATAAGTAACATAAGTAAAATTTCAATTATATTAGTGCTTTGAAAACCGACCTAGAGGTCAAACTATTTTGACCCTTGGTTCTTGATTTGGCCAGTTTAACCCGTTAAATTGTTCAAACCACCAATTCAATTAAATATGGATAAATATAATCGTATATAATGGTTTTACTGGTTTGTTATCTTGTCTACCATGGAGAAGATAACAGGTTTGAGTCTATTAGATATCAAAATTTAATTATCATGTTTCTAACCTATAATATATATATTTTTTTTTATCAGCAAAAACAAATCTTATTATATAGAGTACAAGGGGTACTCCTGCCCATATACACTAATCAAAGATGCACTATATCACAAGATTTTAAAGCATCAAATAGAGCCATCATGAAAACAGAGCAGAACCGAACAAAGAAGCATAAAAATAGCATACAAATGCCTCTGCAGCTTAGTCAAGCTTCCAGCACTCAAAATCCAACAGTAACGAAAACCACCAACACACTTGAGCGAGCTTTACCCTTCTTGATCAGCTCTCTTCCAGATTGCTTCCCGTTGTAGTTTCCTTGCACTCTTTAGATTCTTGCGATGTTGCACAATAACCTCCCTACACTCCCTTGGCCTTAACATCCAATCCGTATACGAAAACACACACCCTGGTTCCTTGTTTTTGAGCCATAAAAAAGATTTTGCTTGAATAGACTCAAATAATTGCTCTTCAGACATCCCCTTTGTCCTAAACACATACATATTCCTCCAATACCAAATAAACCAAGCCGTAACCAGAAACATGAGAGCCCTTAAATCCTTCAAAACTCCTCCACTTATACCAAATACCACTAACTCCACCAAACTAAACAGATCATTTGGCAAAACACTCTGAATCTCCCACCACCCCAAAACCTTCATCCATACTAACCATACCCTTTTACACCCACATAAAATATGATGAAGTTGCTCCTCCCCCTCATGACAGAACACGCAACCCACATCACCCCCTGACAACACAATTCCTCTCTTACATAATTCTCCTTAGTCGCTAACCTATTCAAAAACATTCTCCACCCAAAAACACTCACCTTAGAAGGGACATATCTATTCCAAATCACCTTAGCCCATTTCTCCTAAAAAAAACTAGAATTTGGTGTTAGGAACTCATATGCTGCCTTCACCGAATAACAACCATCACTACAATGCACCCATTTCCAAGAATCCTCCCTATCTATCTGCAACTTAAATCCATTGATCATTGCCCGAAAATGTTCTTCCTCTTCTGCTGCCCTCCCTCTACATCCACATCTCCACTTACAATCCCAAACCCAATTTTCTCCACGCCAAACCCCCATATCCTTCAGTATTCCTTCCGTCCTTACAGCCAACACAAACAACCTAGGATATAACTCCTTCAAAGACTTATCCCCCACCCATTTGTCACTCCAAAAATCCACACAGCTTCCATCCCCAACTTCCCACTTAAAACCCCTTACTAACATCTTTGATAATCGTTTTGATCTACTACCCAAACTCACAATATCCTTCCAAATCTGAGACATATTCAAACCCTCAACGGAAGTAACATCCCTCTCCCTCCTACCCCATAATATTTCCCCCAAATCACCCTCTTCCATAAGCTATCTAAACCATCTCCTAGTCGAAACCACCATTTCCCCAACAAAGCCCCATTCTTTCTCTCTAAATCAACCACTCCTAAACCCCCCTTCCCCTTCTCCACACACATACACTCCCAACTAACCCATGGAATTTTTTTAGCCAAACTCGCACCTCCCCAAAAAAAATTCCGCTGAATTTTAATCAACTCAACAAGAACAACTTTAGGAATCTTAAATAAAGACAAATAAAAAATAGGGAGAGCAGAGAGTACCGAGTTTATTAAGGTAATCCGGCCTCCAAAGGACAGTAATGGGCTTTTCCAAGTGGCAAGCTTTTGATGAAACCGATCTAGCACCGACTTCCAAAACCTTTTCCTCCCCGGATTTCCTCCTACTGGCAAACCCAAGTATATAAAAGGTACTTTGCCCACCCCACAGTGTAACATGTTTGCAGTTCCTTGTAACCAACCATACGAAATATTAAACCCGTACAGATGACTCTTGCTAAAATTAATCTTTAATCCAGAGATCATTTCAAACCAAAGCAAGATAGCTTTCACAACTCTAACATTTTCAGCATCAGCTGTCCCTATGAAAACTGTGTCATCTGCAAATTGTAATAGCGACAACACCTCCCCTCCCCTTCCAATCTCCACCCCTCTCAAAAGCCCTTCACACTCAGCTTTTTTGACCAACCCACACAAATCTTCTCCAACCAATAAAAACAGAAAAGGGGACAAAGGATCACCTTGACGAAGGCCTTTGGATACAGAGAATTCCTTCGTTGGACTTCCATTTATTAACACCGAGATCCTCGCAGTTGAGAGACATTCCCGAATCCATTTCCTCCACTTATCCCCAAAGCCCATACTATCCATCATCCAATCGAGAAAACCCGAATCCACACAATCGTAAGCTTTCTCAAAATCAGCTTTAAACATAAAGCTTTGTTGCTTTCTTCTTTTTACCTCATGCACAACCTCATTCAAGATTAGCACGCTGTCCACCAACTGCCTACCACCAACAAAAGCTTATTGAGAATCACTGATTATATCTGACATTACCATTTTCAATCGATTTGCCAGAACCTTGGCCAACAATTTATACAAACACCCCAGCAAACTAATAGGCCTATACTCCTTAAACTGAAGTGGATTCAATTTCTTAGGAATTAATGCAAGGAATGAAGAATTTAAGCCTTTCACTAACCTCCCATGCTGATGAAATTCACACATAAAATTCTAACCTATAATATATTAATGGGTTTTTCTTACAAAAGTTAAGAATGTAATAAATGTAATTATCAATTATTATTATTATTTTATATAAATCAATTATAAAAAATTACATTTATTATACTTTTAGTTTATATCTTTAAAACACAAATCAGACAAACTCTATATTAATTTCAACACAAAAATCAACAATGTTTCTCCCCACATCAAATGAAGAAACTTTATCAAAGGGAAGTTTGATTCCCATAAATCTTCTTCTTAAAAATAAAATAAATAAAATTTTAAGCAAACTATATCAACTTTAGAGTTGACGCTTTAGTGGCAAGAGTTATTGAAAATATCCTTAAAGCCATGTGTTCAAACGCTAGAGTTGGTAAATCTAAGTGTTTGAACCTTGGAGGTGGTAAATCTAAAGAAATTTTAACCAAAAACTTTAAACTATCTAATTGAATGGTTTAGTAGTTTGTATCATTTTAAATAGTTTTATTGATTTTGAATGGTTCAAACTCTTTACCAATTTCAAATACTCACTTGACTCGATTATGCTATCGGGTATCGATTTGACCAGTCCAACTAGTTAGTTTGGTCTGATTTTTAAAATAATGAATTATACAAGTATAAGTAACAAATTAGTTAAACAAATTGATTAAATAAATTGGGTAAATAATTCTGAAACTCTATATTGTTAGTTGACTTGATATTTTTGGGTATATTATTTTCATATTCATTATTTAACTAATTTATTTACAATTCGGGTGCTG